CCCCAAAACCCCAAAACCCCAAAACCCCAATATTAAATATGGCAGTTGAACAACTCTTGCTTGTGATCTGAACATGCATCTTTTTATCTTCTCATCAGTTTTGAGCAAAGCTTTGAATTTGAAAGTTATTAACGCCTCAAACAGCTTCTTGTCAAATTAAATCCAACCATATTTAATGCTTTAATGAAGCTTTCAAGGCGATAGATGCTTATTAATATTATTAAGTTATCGTGGTGTATAGTTTTTGAATGTCATTGCAGGAAGCCTTGGAGTTTGCAGTCATGATCAATTCTAAATAAGTGTAAGATCTATTAGCGGTGGAATCTGCTCTCTTTTCTGAGCCTCTTCAATAAAAATTGAAGTTCATAATTTTTAAGGTGTAATAACTTTAAGCTTGCTGGCTCACCGTTTTTGACTTATTATTTCTCAAATTAGTATCAACAAGAGGCTTAATAAGTTTCATGAAAAGTATGCACTGAAGGCTGGCTACTTCCTTAAGCTTCCACTGGGTCGAATGAAATCAGTATGTGCTGATAGCCATATTTTACAAGGCCATACATGGCTATCTTTGGGATGTAAGCCTTCTTGACTCGTAAAGAGGATAGAGTTATTATTAAATTCATACGAAATCGGGATGAACAAAAGAATCGACAGTTATATGAGAAACTAACAAACTGGATAGGAGAAGAGCTGGCAACTTGAACTGATCATGTTTGAGGAAGCTGGAGGAGGTGAAAGAGAAAGCTTTGAAGTTCTAATGATGTTTGGAAACCTCTAACAGGATACTAAAGTTTTTACTATACATTTTCTGTAACTGTAAAACGAGTTTAAATTTCTCCAGATCTCCAATTTTTTATTTCTCTTTAAAGGAGATTTCAAGCAGAAAAATATTCGAAATGACTCAAAAATTGATAATTTTGCATTCAAAGAGGTGTCATAGTCTTGGCTGAACTCATAGCTGAGATTTAGCAAAACTTAGATACTCTGACGGTTTTTAAACCAAGATATAGTAGTAATTTTAATATCCAGCAGAATACCAGAAATTCTTACTTGAAGCTTGCCTATCTTTTCAATCTAACAGAGAGAAATATTGGATATCAGTGTATCTCGAGGTTTCCAGCCTCTCAAAATTTTAAAGTTCCAAGGTTGTTTCTAATAACTAAACTCTTATCTAGAAAGCTTTCAGTTGATGAATTTCTGATTGAGGATTTTTAACAGTTTCTCACAGTAGACTCTTTTGGATTTTGTTAAAATTCTGCTCTAATGTAATTAAACAAAGCTGCTTACAGCATTGAAGCATGTTTATAAAGCTTTCTCCACTTTCTGCATATCATTTCAAAGAGAGCAGCTGCTAATATTTCTGAACGAGTATGGTTACTTCAAATCAGCATGCGAACACATTGTTGTTCTATTATTACATGAAAGTTTTCTATAAAGGGAGAGCAATTTATTCAGTGCTTAGAAGTAAAGAAAGAAGAGAGCAGAGAGCCTCTATATGATTCTTATTATATCCCTTCATTATAATAAAGATAGCTCGAGTAGCACTAAAACTCTTCCAATGGAGAACATTACCATCTCCTCTTTTAATGATCAGGTGCTAGTTCTCTCAGAATTTATTTCCAAATCCCAAAGTTTTGATGCTCAATTTTGCTTAGTTGTTGCAGTTTGTCGGTAAATTTTGGGATTAATAATGTTATTTAATAAGACCTGCATGTATCCTAACTTACTCTTCATGCTTTAGAGCCCATTAATGATTGATTTTGATATTTTTGGTTATTTTTCACTTCTTTTCATTTATGGTAAGCTCTAGAGGCTTCCTTAATTTCATAATCTCATATTTTGGTGATAACAGCTCTTTATTTTGCTGAATTATGAATTCTTAGCATATGAAATAAATTCGAGTTGCCGATAATATACGGTCTTGGATATTATTAACCTTCTCATGTGAAACACGCTACTCTATTACCACATAGAGGCAAAATTTAGCTCTTCTTGGCTTAAAATTTCAAATATCAAAAAAGCGCTGAAACATATTCTACCATTTGCCCGACCAAATTCTAAATGAGGTAAATCAGCTGTTGATTTCTTAACGGGAGCAAGATATGTACTTTGCCAAGATAGATGGTCTCTGACTAATTTTTCAGGAGAAAAATACAACATAAGTTAGGAACGATGCTTTCATTTAACAAATCATTGGGCTTCCTGAGGTATGCGATTTGTTATTGTTAGTGATCTTGGCCAATAAGGTTAAGCAATGGGCTTGATATAACCTTCACTCTCTCCCTTCTAACATGCCAAAACATTGCTTAATATACTCTCTAATCCTCTTATAAGTTGGCTGCCGAACATTTGTGTTGTTCGCCATAAAGAGTGTTTCGAAGTATTTCTGAAAGCGGCCTTGGAATCTTTCCGAATTATCAGACTGGTATTGTTAGCAACTATTAATACTTTTTAAAGTCCAAGTTGAGACCCAGAACGAGTTTTCCACAATTGTATATAGTTTTAGAAAATTATTTGAATAAAAGTTAAGACTCTGACTACATTTCACAAATTTCCGAAAATCGAGAAATTTAAATACCTATCAAAGTTTTATGCTGTATAGGTACATTTTTATAACCTCAGAATCTTTATATGATTCTGAAGTATTTCTTGAGCGATTTTTAGCAGGATTTTCGCACTATTTGAAGATTTTAGCAGAAGATTGCCATCTCCCCTTCAAAAATTGCTGCTTATTTTCACCTCACTCCATAAAAATTCACGGATTACAATACTTATACTTATTAATGTAGGATTTGGACTCCCATGAATACTTATAAAACTTTATTTTGTACTATTTTTGGATCATTAATAGGCCGAAATAATATTTTTTGGAGTGGCTTCATTCTTAAAAATATTTCTAAACTCTCCATAACAACCCCAAGTTATTATTATGGTGGAACAGATATTATTCTAACCCGAAACCCTTATTTCTGAACCTGTCACTTTAAATCACATAATTCTAAATGTAGGCTTAAGGTAACTCCCTGCTTGTGCTCATTATGTGCACTTATAATTAAAAATTTAATGGTTGGATAAGATTAGGTGACCAATTTTAGAAAACAATTAATTATGAAGCTTCTTGGAAGAGGGTACTTCTTCTTGTATAGCCATCTTGGATCTTGATTTTTGCGTCATAATAATAACTACGAAAACTCTGAATCTTAGCAAAAGGTCTTTGTTCATTGGCCTAGAGCAGCTCCTTCATCTTTAGTTAGCTCTTCTTTGAATGCATTAACTTTAGGGTGATCAATTTCTTTGCCAAAATTCAGGATTAAGATTCTCAAGATTTTGGAAGCCAGGACTCTATTGAATCTTCTTCTAGAAAAATCGTTGCTTCAAGTATTGAAAGCAGCTATTTGAGTCCTTACCGATTTCCTACAAGGCAAATGGGAAGTATTCTTGGTACTAATTCCAATGGTAAAATAGATAAGATCCTGATTGATGAGTTCAATAGGGCCAAGTTGAGCAAGCATCTTATGAGTTCTTTGATAAATATCTTCTCCAGTGCCAGTGTTGTACTTTCTTAGAGAGATACTAAAGTCTTATTAACCTGGCTACTTACCTTGACCAGCTGTCTGAGAAGCCTTCTTGAAGAACTTTCTAATAACCCTCAGAGCAGCCTTATAGCGTACATCCCTTCTTTCAGAGTACAATGAAGGCTGTTTAGCTGAAGCTGTAGTCTCTACTTTAGGGCTGAGTTCTAGGGGGAGTTCTTGAGGTGTGCTTGGAGGAGAGCGGGTTGAAGGGGCAGGACTGGTAGTGGAGCAGCCTGGGTCTTTGGAGGTATTCCTCTTAGCTTTTTGATTTTTTTTACTCTTCTTTGATTGTTCTGCTGAGTGAAGATCTTCTGCACATTCCTCAGGCTTTAGTATTTTGAATATCTTCTTGAATTTTGCCGATGAATTCGATTTCAAGGCTTCTATCTGCTGGCCTCTTTGATCAGCAGATGCTTTAGATTTTTGAGGAAGTGCCTTATCCTCAAAATTACTTGATACATCTCCAAAGTTACTGCAGTTAAAGTTTAATTTTGATAGGGTCTATATAATCATGAGAGCCTATCATCATTATAATTTACAAGACGGAATCTTCCCAAAATCAGTAACTATCCAATACAAATATAATAAACTCTCTTGTAGCATGAACTATATCTTACCGATTGATCTTTCATAGCCCTCATACCCCTAAAAACACTATCAAAGTATAGATAATCAGGTTCATCTAATCCGTAGAGAGCTTCCGAGATACTATTCATAATGGGAATTAAGTAATTTTTATTAGTGTCTGAGTGGCCTCTTTATCAATGTTGCGGAGATGTGGGGTTTTGGGGTTTTGGGGTTTTGGGGTTTTGGGG